AATAAATAAATAAATAAATACATAAATAATATAAAATCCCCTCCCCTATTCCAGTCCCGTCCACAACAGTACGAAATATCCAAAGAAGCATTTTTCCATTCAGGATGTAATATCTTCTTTGGGTTACCTTGTTAGATCTCACGAGTAGTCGACTGTTAGTTTTTCAACCTTCGGTGGAATGGATTTCTACGTATGTGGCCATTTGTCCTACTTCTTAGGACCCTGTCCTGCTTCGTAATATTATTATGGCCCCCTGCCTTCAGGCAGTCACATTCCGAATTCGAAGGTACTTTCTAATTTTTGTTATTTTGAATAGTAGTATTTTTACTTTTGGTGGGAATTAATTCTATGTTTTGCTCGGGCGGCGGCCGAAGCCTGCTTTTGTCGATATTAGGACCACCCTGGGATCTTCATTGTGCGTAACTCGCTCACGGGACCTCTGAGACTTTTCGTTCTTATCCGATTTTACCTACCCAAAAAATCAGGGGTGTGGCTGAAAGACAGCAGTAAGAAGGAGCCAGGGGTAGCAATAGAAAGAGTCAGGGGTAAATGAGACAAGAGCCCACGGGAAGCAGGGGATGGGGTAGAAAGTGGAAATTGGGGAGGGGGGGGGATGGAGACGAAAGCAGAAGGCTGAACAGGACTAGCAAACAGGAAATGAGATGTAAGGAGAAGATTTTAGGGAATAATTTCTTTTTTTTTATTGCTGTCACGTTTCGATATCGGGACCGTTTGAATGAGAGACGAACACTGTAACATAAGACCACGATAGCCCCTATGATGTGTCTGAAACTATAGTCAGGGAATTGATGAATGACGGTATTGTCGCCTTTTTTGTCATTATAGTTTTGCTTCAGATTGGCATCTGTCTGGAACTGGATCAGTGTTTGTGAGTTTAGTAACAGGCAACTCCCACAGGGACTAACAACAACGATGGATATTCTAAAAATATGCTTATCATGCCTTGAATGCATTTAAGTCTATCTTAGATATTTGTGAACTATACAACAACAACAACAACAACAACAACAACAACAACAACAACAACAACAACAACAACAGCAACAACAACAACAACAACAAAAGTAAAACAACAATAATAATATTAATAACAAATAATACATAGCATTTGTATAGCGCATGTCCCCACTCGAAAGCAAACTCTATGCGCTTTACACTATAACAACAACAACAACAACAGCAACAATAACAAAAAAACAACGGCAACGGCAATAACAACCACAGAAAAAAAATGATATTGACAATTCTATTATACTGTTTTTATTTCAATCCTGTAATGCCTCAGGTATGGCGGATGTGTGCCAAGGTAGCGTCAGTGGAGGCGTGTGGTCAGTGCGTCTGACGTCACAAAGTGTCAATGGACGCACGGACATCAGGTACAGCTTTTCTCTCAGCACCGAAGCTTCAAGCACATTGGCCGACGCCACAGGACCCACAGGCTACACACCCGGCCACTGGACTCATATTGCAGCAGTGTACGATGGGACGAGGATGAAGTTGTATGTCGATGGTGCTCAGGTATAATAATATGTTGTACATAATATGGGTTATCTATTTCTTTTCTTAAATGTAAGTGTTTCACGCCCCCATCGACACAGTTTAGATTATTCAGGAGGCAGGAAGCAAACCATGCCTGTTAGGGCCGATCCGGGCTAAGAGGGGTAAACCGTCCAACCAAAGAACTGAAATACTCGATTATTATTTCACCCTTTCGGGAATCCAACTCGGGTCTCATCCACGCGACAGCGGAGGGCCTAACCGCTACACCACAGACGCTGCTGGTATGGGTTTAACGCCTCTTCCAACGCTATAAAGTTGTTTAAAGAACTGAAGTTCTCATTTTAAATG